TTATGATTTCATAAAGGCAAGAAAAAAAGAAGATACCACAAAGATTATTTTATGGATCAATGCCTCTTCTGGATGGCTCTTTCAAGACTTGAGTACTAAACTAGCCTATTTATTTAGTCCTGTATAAAAAGACTAGGCCACATCCTGTATTTAGTTATATCTGTAGCATTTCAAGAAATGTGTTATACATGAGTGGTTGTTCGTACACTGACTTACTCAAGAGGTCAAAACTGCAAAATCAAGGTCCCAGGTCATATAAAACTGCTTATCTCCTCTAGGAAAGATGATGATGTTGGCAAGGAAGGGAGTAAGAAAATTATCTGAATTTCTACACAGCAGATACTCCAGGTTCATAATGTTTGGGCAAGGCTGTTGATGACTAAGTGCCATCAAGTCACTGTCAACTCTTAGCAATCACATAGATTGCAATCACATAGATTTTCTTAACCCAATATAATTATGCACCATAGATAAAACAAGTGTAAGTGGCAATGTCAGTAACAGCATTGTCAAATGATAAGGTGAAGAAAACAATGTATTACATGTCCTTGTAGTAGGGCCAGAGGAATAGAGCCAGGTAGAGAACATGGGATCCTCCAGATGTTATTGCATAACATTTTCCATAATCACTTCCTACTTCCCCTTGCCCATGCCATTTAGGACTATATGGTGGTTAGAATTCAGTAACATCCATATCTGATCCTTCAAAAAAAGTTACCTATTTCCCAAGTCTGGAAGTTGCCATCCATTGATCTTACCAGGGTTCAGTTTCACTCTCTTGACCAAGTCTTGCAGGATGTCAGAAAGATATTTATTTGAAGTATGTAATGATTCTCAATTAATTTCAGAGTATTTTCCACTGACAAGGACAATTTTTCACCTTGAATAATCAAATTGACCTTACTTCTTGATCAGGTTTCAACATATCTAGATGAGGGAAATAATCAATTTACTTCACCAAAGCTACTTCATAAACATATTTGTTAGACAACAGACATTCCTTCAAATAAATACATTTAGAGACAACATAAAAAGCTTCATTTCTTCTCTTTGCTTTATTGGCCGATGTCCCTGTTTCACTTAGTTTCAATTTATTGTCCCAAGTCCTGATCTAAACCTTCCTAAACTTTTGTAGTTTCAGATCTGAGAAATGGATTTTGAATGCCATCAAAATCCTTGTTTTGATCCCACCCAACTCAAGCTTGGAATGGCTACTTGAATTTGACACTAACACCACCTCTTCTTGCTTTCCATGTGAATTGATTCTGGGATTACAGGGCATAATTTGCAGCTTGCAATTTCTATAAAGGCCTCAGGTTAATTCTTTCTTTTATTTCAGGAGCTTTGCTGCCATTAATCCTGTGCCATAAAATAAGGAACAAAATACCAGATAATCCACCACTTTATGTGGTTTATTCAAGAAGTAAATTTCAATAGGAGGAAACTCAAGGCCAGTAAACAAACAGATCATATGCTAAATATAACTTAAAATATCTGAAGCATCCATTTATTTTATTTAGTTGCAATACCACACAAGTAGACTGTACTTATCATTTGACAGGATTATACATTTTAAGAATGTTAATTAACATGCTTTTATATTTTCACTACCACACCAGGATGAGAAGGCATCATTTTTAACTTTAGTGATTCAGAAAATAAAATTATTTTGAGACATATCAGAAAAAAATCAATTCTGCAAAGGAACATTTAAAAAGAAAGTTGCTAAACTATAGTTGAAAACTTATATTAGGGATCTTAAATTTCTGGCCCTCTGTTATCTTTTGCAGCCCACACGTAACCAACAGGAGAGTGAGGCATAGAAGTTGGCTAGCCCCTTTGTGCAATAATCATGAACACACATTATGAATCCTCCCTTGGATTAGTCACTAACATGAAGCTCCGTTCCTAGGCATTGCAGCCTAAAAGGCAACTGCATTCCTAGCCTTACATCAAGGTGCAATCACAGCCACCACTGTCAAAACGATGCTTTGTGGACTCCAAGCTTGACCACTGAAAACACCTCAATGCAGCCTTATCTTCGCCTGTTCTACAGGTTTATAGCTGTACTTTCCCCCCTAAATCCATAGCAAGAAGAAACATGTCAGACCCACTGGTGCAGGTGCCAACTCTGGCCCCAGATGTGATACCTTAATGCATGGTGAGGAGTGTAACTATCTGGGCATGGAGCTGTTTCTTCTGGGCCTTGGATCCATTGTGTCTGACACAACCTTCATGCCGTTGCCTAATTTCCAGCAGTCTTTCTCCTGCTGTCTCAGTAGTACCAGAGGGACTTTCCTCCTTCTTTTCTCCATTGGTTGCCCAGATTTTTAGAACTCTGAAAGTGCACCCGATATGCCAAAGGGCAAGATGGCAATGAAGAAGCATCTCAATTCTCTTTATGCAATTGCCTCCTAAATAACTATTTATCTCTCAGGAAATATCCACAAAATACTCCACTATGAAGTACTTGAAAGACCAAAAACCAAGACTCTTTCACTCAATTCTTAGTTTGCCATGATAAGCTTTCACTTCAAACACGTGGTAAATGAATTTTTTATAAAATAAACAGGATATCAGTTATTAGGTTAATGTGGATCAAAATTGCATATGTTTATATATAAAATATACCTTATTTCATATGTATTAAATTAGAGCTGCTGAGTTTAGTCACAGGAAGTACATAGTTCATGCTCCTTGCAGCAATTTATTGGCAAGAAAACAAATCTTCCAGCCACACAGAATCACACGAGAAATTGATTAGATGCTTGGATCTTGATTAGGGTCATTTGATAAGACTGGACCAATTTAAAAATAAAATCTTCAGTTTTATTAATTTTAATTAAATTGTTAAATATTAGTATATTAATCTTCCCCATTAATTGTAATGAGAAACTAGTCAACAGCAATTGTTTTTTCTCATATGGCAATATCGGATACATCAATACAGCTGGGCTAGGTAATCTTGCTTTGTTTGATTTGACATTCTATCCATGCCCTGCCCTGTGATTACCTGGTTTAGGATTTATGGGTTTAAAACTGGGTACACCGCCCAGCATCACTGTGTGTCAGTTGGGTGGCCATATAAATTGTTTAATAAACACCTTCTCTGAATGTCTATGGAGATTCTCAGTTATCTGAGTCATGGTTGTTCCAAAGGTGCTTTTTCAAGAGGCAACTGGACTTTCTCATTTTTCTTTGAAGAAAGAAGAAAAGCCAGAAAGTCCAGTTGCCTCTTGAAAAAGCATCTTTGTGACATCTTCTCTGAATCTAGCCCTTTGTGTGTTCTTCAATAAACCAGGGTTAACCAAAGCATGACTTAAAATAGTCTCTAAACCTAATTAACATATCCAACATGAATGAATGAATAAACGAGCTGGAAGGTACCTTGGAGGTCTTCTAGTCCAGATAAGTGACTCTAGATCACGGGTGTCAAACTCACGTCAGATTTTTCCACCCAGCAGAGCTGGGATGGGTGTGGCCTGCATGTGACACATCCAGCCTGCAGGCCACCAATTTGACACCCCTGCTCTAGGCTTTTCTTAGAAACATCCAGTGATGGAGCACTCATGATTTCTGGAGGGAAGCTGTTGCACTGGTTAATTGTCCTCACTGTTAGGAAGTTTCTCCTTAATTCTAGTTGTTCTCTCTTTGATTAGTTTCCAACCATTATTCCTTGTCCTGCCCTCCAATGCTTTAGAGAATAATTTGACCCACTTTTTTTTTGTGGCAGCTCCTTAAATACTGGAATACTGCTATCATGTCACCCCTAATTCTTCTTTCTTTAGACTAGTCAAACCCAAATCCTTCATGTTTTAGTATCCAGGCCTTTCATCATCTTAGTTGCTCTTCTCTGAACTTTTTCCAAAGTTTCAACATCTTTTTTGTAGGTATGATGACCAAAATTGGTTGTAGTATTCAGGGTGTGGTCTTATTAGGGTTTTATAAAACAGTACTAATATTTCACATGATCTTGATTCTATGCCTCTGTTTATACAACCCGGGATTGTATTTTATTCCCATATACATAGGCATAACACTGTATCCCTACAGTAGGACTGTACCCCTAAATTATTCCACACATTTCTTGGGAATCAATTCATGGAGCCGGTTGAGAACTTATTTATAAGAAAATGTGCATAGATTTGCAGAGATAGTCTCTCACATTTGTTTCTTAACTTCATTTTCTATTTTCTGAACACTGTACAATGCAGATTTTTCTCCCTTTATTTTCTACTGTTTGACCCTTCAAAATTACAAGATTTTCTGGATTATGAAAAAACCATGTAACTTGCAAACTAGAAAAAGTATTTTTTAAAAAACAAATCCATCATTTTTCTTTAACAGGTACGATTTATTCTTTTCCCAAATCATGATGCAATACACGCTGCCTGTACTATTCTAAGCACATCTACCAAGAAAACCCATTAAAACTGCAGCTGGTGCAATCCCAGGAACAAGATTCATTGGGAAAATTGAGGACTTCCAAATAAAAATACGCATGGCTGCATAACAGGATGAGTTTGCTGCTGGTGCAAATTTAAACATAGTGCAATCGCCCTCTCAGGTCAATAGGTTAGGGTTAAAGTTAGGGTCTTCCTTAACTTGGTACTCCCTCCAGATTTATTTGTCAAACATGTACAAGAAAACAAGTATAGGTATGAACATAAACATGAACAAAGGAAATAAATATAAATAGGGACAATAACGCAGGGACAGTATGCACGCTGGTGCGCTTATGCACACCCCCTCTTAGGAATGGGGATGAGGTCCACGGTAGACACTTTGAAATAGAAGCTACGAGGGTTTGAGGCTGTAACAACGGAGTCGGGTAGAGCATTCCAGGTGTTGATGTGTGGGGCTTCAGCTCCTTTCATTGGCATTAATTAATTAATTAAGCTCCTTGATTAATTAGTTCAGTCCTTTAATTCAATTGTTTGGGAAAGACGCCATCCTGGCTCAAGGGCAGCAGCCTTCTGCTACTTCGCATGCGTTCCTACCCTGCGCCGTGCACGATTATGCAGCGTCTCTCTCCAGCCTCCCAGAGCTTCGACACGAGAGCAGCCGCCCTCCGCAAGGACTCCGCTTTCAGCGTCTCCAGCTGGTTTTTCTGCGTCAACGCACTACCACCTAATTTCAGAATGCAATCCACTGCAGCAGCCATGGCGGCCGGAGTTGCCCGCTCGCATTTTAACCGGCTGTCTTTTCTTTGCTGACGTCACATCCGGCCGATTTCACTGAAACGATTACAGGGTAGGTCGGCGGGTGCAGATGCAGGCAATGGAGTGAAACTGAGGAAAATTTTGAAAAATGACCGCTGACTGCCGCATCGAAGAATTTATTGCTTTTTTTTTTTGAGGGGGGGGCGGGATATGCAGGTATTTTTATTCCAACTTTTCTTCCCTAATACTCCTTTAATAGAAGGCTGCTGTTTCTTTCTACCTTGTAATCAAACTATCAAGGCGGGTTAAAGCAAGTTGATTCCGGTTGAAGTAGAACTGCAGGTGTTCAAAGGCGCTGTTTTATGAGTTTTGTTTTCACAACTGGAACCAGGCTTATATGCATTTAGATAATTAATCGACAAGGGGAAAAAACGGGCCCTAGGCTACAGGTCTCCAAAGTTGGCAACTTTAAGACTTGTGGACTTCAACTCCCAGAATTCTCCAGGGCTGGCTGGAGAATTCTGGGAGTTGAAGTCCACAAGTCTTAAAGTTGCCAACTTTGGGGACCCCTGCGCTAGGCAATGCAATGCAATGCATTTGTGAACATTACTCTCCTCCCCCCCCCTCCAGATTGCTGTACAATGTAAATCAGATGAGGGGGGTCAGAAAACCCACGGACATTCAGTATGTGCCAACATAGATAAGAGAATAGATGCCTTCATGCTCACTGAAACGGCTTATAGTGGGAAAAACATTCTGCACGTATTCATTGGCACTGCTAAGAATGTCTCCTTTTGCTGTTGGGATGGTACTCAAAGGTAGCAAGGCTTGTAAAACAACCCGATATTCCAAGCACCTCTTTACAGGCAATGAAAAGTTGGCCCTGAAGTTACTCTCCCAAGTTGTTTGAGAAATAACTCCCGTTATAGCACAAATCGGTAAAACGACAGTGCGTCTTTAATCCCGCCCCCGGAGGAACAGCAACGCAGCCTTTTCGCCTCTCCTACTTTAATATTTTGCGACCCAGCCTGGAATCCACAGAGCGCAATCATCTGACTGACTTTTTTTTTTCTGGTTACTAAAAGGCTTGAAAATTATGAATAGTCCCTTAAATCGCAGAAGCGGTTTTGGTTGGTTTCTAGCAACGTCTATTACGGTGATGTCAGCAGAAAAAAAATCACAGGGAAAGGCGGACCCGGTCGTTTCCAGGAGTCGGCGCTGCTAAGGGTGAGTCTCTTGTTTCGTCGCCGGTAGCATTAAACGCCCCCGATGTTGGTTGGGGGAAAACGGGGAGCAGTTTCCTTAGCTTGTGGTACTGGGGGTATAGCGAAGCTCGGAAGGATCCGATCTCTGCCCGTGATCTGCGTGTTTGGTGGTTCGTGTCCTGAAAAATGGTATGGTTTGGAAGGGAATGTAAATTGCCAGGACAAGGTGATCGGCAGGTACCGGTGGGTAGTAGCTATGAACTGTTGCCGTTCCTTCAGGAGTTGCAGCAAAAAGCACCCTTATTTAATTAGGGGTGGGTTTTTTTTTATCATGACGTGTATGCAATCTCGTCACCTTTGCATTTACATAAAAAAAATCCAAAACCATCCAAAATCCAAAAATTAAGTAGATGTATCACATGCACACTTTTATGGGAAATAGAGAGGAGCGGGAAGCTATAGATGGCTATCAAAGTTGAACAGTCTGGGAAATGTGGCCATTGTGCAAGAGAGCTTCTTGTCTCTTTCCCCTCTTTTTCTACTTTTTTTCTTTTTCCCTTAAGCAGGGGGAAATGCCTCCTCTTCCTCTTCCTTCCCTTTAGATTTGGACTACTCTACACCACAAAGAGGAAAAGGAGTGTAAAGTTTAGCAGATCCTTCAGAAAAAATACTTTAGTGAAGAATGTATACTGAGACTTTAAGTCATCCAGATCATGGTTGTCCCAAAGGTGCTTTTTCAAAAAAGGCAACTGGACTTCCTTTGTTTTTCCTTGAATAGGTTTCCCTTCTCATCCAAGATACTTCAGAACTGAAGAATGTCCTTGGATGAGAAGTGAAACATCTTCAGGGAAAAAGAAAGAAAGTCCAGTTGCCTTTTGAAAAAGCACCTTTGGGGTTTTAATGAAGTACTCCGGGAATAAGAGAATCAAGCAGAACACACAAGGGATACACAGTCTTTCTTTACAGTACATGCTTTGGGATGGGGAGGGCGTGTAGAAATCAGAGGAGTGAGGAGAGCTCGGGTGTGAGGAGATGTCTGTTAATGGGTACTCCATTCCCATCACATGGTCACCCAGTTTCTCTCAAGGCACCTCTAAGATTGGAGTAGGTGTGTATCTCTTCAGTCCCTGCATAGACCCATCCCTCTTCAGTCTGAGCTTGACTTAAAATTATAGCTGCAGATGGTGTCATTTTCAAATCAATTACTGCATGTGAGATTCAGGAAAGTTTTTCCAGCTTAAGTTGTGTGGCTATACATAGTTTTCGACTTACAACTATTTGCTTGGTGTCAGTTCCAAGTTACAACAGCATTGAAAACGTGGATTATGTCTGGTTTTCATGCATCCCCACAGCCACATAATGAAAGTGCTTGGCCACTGGCATGCATTTCTGATAATTGCACTGTTCCAGAGTTATGTGATCATCATTTGTAACCTTGCCAACCAACTTCCAACAAAGACAAGGGGGGGAACCAGATTTGCTTAATGACTGCATAATTCATTTAACTGTAGTGATTTGCTTCAACAACTGTGGTAAAAAGTTGATAAAATGGGACAAATAATCATTTAAAAGTTGCCTTGCTTAAGCAATGAAAATTTTGCACTCAATCGTGGTTGTAAGTCGAGGACTACTTTCATGATTAATTTCTAGTTTGGTGACTTCTTGAACTTATGTAGAAATTGGAATACAATTAAAACTATCCTCTTAGACTGAATTAATATAGATGTCTTTCACCCATATCATTAACATTATCATATCCAATTTTGACCCTATAGAAAAGATTCTATTTTATAATCCATATGTTCAGCTATAGAGCTTATTGGAGATTCAAAGACAAAAAGTATAACTGATAGTAAAAGCAGAGAATTTGTTCACAACTTTTAAAACTAAAGGGATTTTTTTGTTTGGGGTTATATGACAGCTGTGTAGTTACTCTGGGCAGTGAACAGAACTTAAATAACATAAAAACAATTATAATCATTTACAAAAATTAAAATACAAAGCACTCAAGAAGCAGCAAATCACTAACACAACCAAGAGTGAATATTTTCAGTCACTCCTTTTTCCTTTTCTTGAGATAAGAGACTTCATTACCCAATAACTAATCCATTTTAGTTTTTTCCTGGTTGCAAGACCTCATAACTTGAATAAATACAACTATGTCTACCTTGTATCTTCCCATATCTTCAGTTGGGAGTAGCCAAAAGAGAGATGGAAGGAGGAGCCGAGAAACTCCTGAAGTCAGGCCTTTCCCATTCATGACATAGTTCCTCGGTTGGTGGATGCATTCCCTACGGGCTGGCGGCATGCTAGAAGGGGATGGCAGCAGAGCCGAGATTGGCAATGAGCAGAGCAAGATTTATACAGGCATTCTATGCCAGTTCAAAGATGGCTAGATAACACTTCAACACAATATTCAGGAAAGACAATATTATTGGGTTCTTTGGAAATGTTTGGTTTGTATAATCATAGGTTTGTGTATCTTACTTTTGTATTTGTTTTTCAAAAATCAATCAGTTTATATGGCTGCTCATCTCAAATACATAAAATGGGTAGATACCAGTATTTAAAAGTAAATAAAATAAGTAAATTACAGTATACAAGAAATTAAAACACAAAGCAGCTAGATAAAAAAAAAAACACAATGTAACCGAACTTGAAAATTCTTGCATCAGTTTCTATGAAATTTGACATGATGATGCAGTTTTTGATGATGACATAATGATGCAGTTTTTCTGTGAATTTTATTTCATTTCCATTCTAATGAACATGAAAATATGTGCCATTCCTCATTTATGCTTTTTCCAGATTGGCTAATTACAGTATGAGAGTAGAACTTTGGTTTTTATATTTATCCAACCAAATTGGGTACAAATTGCAAAGCATTCTCTGGACTGTCACAAGATAGAATGATGTCAAAATGGCTTGGATTGATAGTTGTGATGTCAGAATGGCTTGGTTAGACTTCAGAGTTAGAAAGAATACAGCTGGAGACTTCTGAATTCTACCAGACTTCTGGCAGTTTGTGCAACAAGTATTTCCCATAGCAGTGGGCTTGATAATTGGAAGATTTCCCTAGTAATCGAAAAAGAGTATACAGATTGCATAAGTGGGGTTCATATATACAGCCTTTTTTCCAGGTGACATTATTCAATTATTAATTTTCAGCATTGCACGCTGGAGGGAAACATGGCACTAACCATCATCACTCTGTCTTATGAAGAAGTCTACACCAGGCACTGCATAGGAAGGGGAAGAATATTTTGGAATCTTTCCATTTATGCAAAATCTTATTCAAATACTGTAGAAGGGTAACATATTAAGTATGTATGTATTAGATATGCTTCAGAAGTTTCATCAAACTCAGTATGATTCCTTTGAGTCCTTCTTAAGATTCAGAGCTACTCAGGCATCCAGGAATAACTTGGACATATTTTACATAAGTAAAGAAAGCAGGCTTTCTTCGCTCTCAAGAGAGTTTCTTGATAAATCTGTCAATGTTTGTTCTGGATCCCCCAGAGTATAAACCAAGAGCAATTTGAATGTCACAAAACTGTCTGTTTTTAAACATATGCTGGGAAACCATCTAAAACCCAAAGAACATTGGGAAGGAGCAGAGCAGTCCCAATATAGTTAAAAAATAAAGTTACATAAAAACAGGACAAAGAATGAACCCACCCTTGGTGTGGTCTAAGACTAAAGCATTCAGTTCACATTCTTTTCAGATGACACAGTTTTGTGGCCTCTTTTATGTAACTGAACTGGCTTTTCTGTGTCCAGATGTTTGATTGTTTGCTGCCTAAAAACTGAAACTTTCCAAAATATATGTAAATGTGAAGAGCACCTAAGATAGATGTGGCAGATATTTATGTATGTGGAAAATATGTGTAAGATCAAGTATCTAATTAATAATACTTTTGCTTTTCAATGCTTCAGTAAAATGGAACTGGGAAAAAGTTCATTTTTACACAACTTTTCTTAGTAAAAGATGATCTGCTCTAACTTAATTGCTCTTTTTTATTTTTGCATTTTGAGACATAGCTGCTGGGATCTCAATCTTCATCAAGATTGACCACTAATTAACTGATCTACCATTAAGAGCAGCTTTTTTTGAAAAATAAATACATATTTCTTTCTTACTATTGTAATTTTCATTATTGTACTATTAAAGCGATAAGATGTAGCCAATGCAGCTGAAAAGTTTCATTCTTTTATGAACATGGAAATAAGTTAAACTGTGGCCTTCAGGTTACTTAAAAGGATATGAAATTTTAAAGTGTGAAAATGTGATTCAAATAAATTCATCTTTCCTGTATTTACATATATATATTTACATATGCATATATATATAACGTTGCTGCATACACAGATATATGTATATATATGTATGTGTTTGTATTTACATATATATAATTACATACACATACACATACATATAATACTGTTATTAGTTTATTTGTTGTGTATTCTGATCTGAAACTGAATGTACATCTTTTGTAGAAAATCTAATCCAGTTGCAGAAAAGCACAAGGTGTAACATACGATAAAATGATAATATGTAATGAGCTATATTTAAAATCTAATGTAAGGCTGGTTCTATTAAAATTGTCTTCTTTGCCCAAGGAATAGGAAAAGGCTGTTTTTTTCTTCCCTTCTAAACACACTACAAGTTCTTGTGCAAATCTGTTGTGAACTATTGGCTTTTGATATATGTTTTTATTGCTTCAGGTTTTCAGGCCCTAAAAGAAGGAGGTATCATCAAAATTACACATATGCTGAGGAAACCAGCTTGTCACTTTTTAGCAGATGAATTGTAATATCTAAATGTCTATAATGTTATAAAGAATTGGCTGATTTCTGTTGTTTTCCCTCCCCCCTCCAGGTAATGTTCATTTACACATCTGAGAAATCATGAAATCGGTGTCACTTGCAGCCATTTTTTGGTGTATCCTAATACCATCATTTGAGACCAGCAAGGTAAGGGAGGAAAATAGAGAAAAAAATTAGTTTATAATTAAATTAATTTTTTGTTTATGAATATATTTCTAAACACGAACCCGAATTCATTTACTTGCTCTGATTTTTTTCGTATCTGAATATAGTCTGTAGTCCGTCACTCTATTTTCTTTGATAAACACAATTATCTCAGCATTCATATATACTGTCAGATCCATGCTCTTCATTGTATCATATACTCTATCAGCCAACAACATAATATTATTAAATACAAACGTACATCTATATTCATGGTCCCAATCATCACATTTCTAATGTCGCCACAAACTTTTGTTATTTCTTTCATAAATACATTAAACAATCAAGGAGATATCATACAGGGAGATCTCTATCCTTATCTCATTCCCTGTTCAGTGTTTAACCATTCACTAAGCATTCTATTTATTTTCACACAGATCTTAATTCCATTATATACTAATCTGATTCCCCTTGGTGATTAATGTTCAATTTTATATGCTGGGTGGGGAGCAGTGGCCTGGAACTGGTTCCTGGAAAGACCAAATGACTGAGTCTAGAGTTCTTTGGTCGAGAATTGCTATCTCTGGTCTTGGAAGGGCTGGCACTGCCATAGATAGATCCAGTGTGTAATCTGGAGGTTCTTTTGGACTCACAACTCCTGCTCAAGGGCCTTTGTGCAGCTGTGGCTTGTGCATCAGTTATGCTCTTTCCTGGACCAACGATCCCTCCTCTCAGTTAATCACGCCCTAGTAACCTCCTGTCTTGACTATTGTAATACCCTGTACATGGGGTTGGTCTTGAAAAGAAGCTGGAATCTCCAATTGGTTCAAAATACAGTGGTCCGTGTTGTTTTGTGCAGCTGTAGATGTGCATTGGTGTCATCTCCTGTGGGAGCATCAGTGGCTACCAATCTCTTCTGGGTACAATTCAAGATGCTGGTTGTCACCTTCAAAAACCCCACATGGCTTGGGGGGTAGGTTATCAGAAGGACAGCCTCTTCCTGGTTATAGCCATCTGACCCACCAGAACTGGGTGGCAGCAAATGTGGGGCTCCTCTCCTTACGGAGGTACATCTGGTGGGATCCAGAAGAATGGCCTTCTTCATGATGGTTCCCTCTTTTCGGAACATCCCTGTGGAGATTAGAGTGGCCTTCACTTTGACATTCTTTTGCAAGGCCCTGAAGATCTGGTTTTGCCAAAGGGTCTGGGAACCCAGAGTAGGATGGAACTCATCAAGTGCTTATTTGGTTGATTGTTGTTGCTGGCAAAAGGTATTGCTTTGTATTTTTTGTATATTGAATTTTTATTTTTGTAAGCCGTCCAGTTGCTGAGAGTGAGTGGACAGCCATACAAATAAATAAACGTTACTGAAGTAAAACTTAACAGTTGTAACAACCAAGATGTAGTTCAAGAAAATACGAAGGATCTCAGGTTCTCCAGCATAATATGACATGACTTGAAAGAGTATCGTTAACTACTTTACTTTGCAATGAGGCAAAACTATTGGTCGCACATACTGCTTATTCTAGTTGTATCCTATTTTTCTTCTATAGACATTTGAAGACATACGCTGCAAGTGTGTCTGCCCACCATATCGGAATATAACAGGACAGATTTACAAGAACAATGTATCACAGAAAGATTGGTAAGACAAATTTCAGAAGAGATTCTCAAAGCCCATAGAATGTTTGCAAGATGTGATTGTTTTAAAAAGCTGGTTTAAAAACTGGTCTTCAGACAGTGAAATGAACTAATCTCATACTTTCTGTCTCATCAATTGGATACTTTCTCCCTGTACATTTTATCTGTTTGTATATCTGTCAAAGGAATTAACTTAGTGATGCAATAACAGTCTCAAAATTATCCAGCTAAATGTAACATTAAATTCTGTATCCTTAAAAACAGGTGAATTTCCATATGATAGAAGGCTTTTGATGCCCGTTGTTGCTTCTTGTTTCTCACTACAGTAATTGCCTGCATGTGGTGGACCCTATGCCAGTGCCAGGACATGATGTTGAGGCATATTGCCTGTTGTGTGAGTGCAAATATGAAGAACGAAGCACCACGACTATCAAGGTAAAATACCAATCTATCTCTTACACCAGCTTTCTCTGTCTTCTGTCCTCACTGTATAACACTAAGAATTTTGGCTGTTGACAACTGTCAAGGAAACTGAAAAGAGAATCTGCAAATATACTCACAAAGAAATCAGCATTGTGAGATTGAGGCAAGAGTATCTACATTGGTTAGTTCTCCCAGTTAGTGTTTCTCATATAGGTCTTACCTTCTAGTGAAAGCTGCATTTGAGAATCATATCTTAGATTTCTTCATAAGAAATCAAGGAAATAATTTTAGTCATGTTTCGGTTATTTACTGTATATAAATGTTTGATTTTGGACTCTTTAACTTCACTGGGAAAGGTGTTGTTTTTTTCATCCTTTCTTAAATCTGATGTCTTCAGACAATGCAGAATTTTGAATGCGCACAACTGCATATACTTCCAGCATATTGAAAAGGCATCAGATTGGGGAAATCCAACCTGGTATCCTTGCCATGTTTTGATCTTATCCTTTCTAGCACTGGTAATTTTGTAGCTGATTTCCCCTATTACAATATAGATATTGAAGCTTTGCTCAAAATATGTCCTCTTATCCAGGATCTTTGATGACATTTTGTGTTCATGCAGATTATCATCATCATTTATCTCTCAGTGATTGGAGCTCTTCTACTCTACATGGTCTTTTTAATGGTAGTTGACCCTTTTATCCGCAAACCTGATGCCTATACACAGCCCCTGCACAATGAAGAAGAGTCAGAGGTGAGTTTGATGCTCTTTAAATAGGTTGTTTTTTCTTTCATTTGGACTTCCTGAATCTGGTATCTTCCGTACGTTGCTTCCCACAATCCCCCACTGATTAGATTGTGGGAATTAAAAGCTAATAATTTTGGAAAGCCTGAGATTCTGGAAAGCTTGGTAGTAATCTGACCTTTAAATCTATGTGTTCAACAGTGGAGATTTCTACATACCAATCACTTTACAGAACAAAATGATTGGTATATAGAAACCTCTATGTATGCTTATTCACTTATTCACATAACATTTTCTGTATGCACAGTAACAGAAGCCTTCCCACCCACAGAGGGAAAGGGGTTCAGTATACAACCCTTTCCCTCTAGATACCCTTCTCCCAAATGCGTACACATCTTCATCCTTTCCAGAGAGCATAATGCTTGAGAAGGGTTTAAGATATGCCTCAAAATCTGTTTCTATAATCAGCACTCAGAACTAACATTTCCAAGCTGAAACATTGCAGATAAGTTGAGACTGTAGCTTTCTGAAGTCTGGGGGTGACTGGGTTAGAGAAGGCACCTTTAAAAAATTAGTGACATAAAGAAATTGGATTTCTTTCTAGGATCTCATTCTGTATTGTGGATTGTATCTTTGAAGTTCACGCACATTAAATACGAGCACATTTTATTTTGAAGAAAATATTTTAAATTCCTGTTAATTATGTTTCTGAGACAATTCTGAAAGGATTTTATTTTGTATGTCATTCATTCATTTGAATTAGAACGCTGAAGCAGTGTTTAAAATAAGGCTGTTTGTTTCAGAACACATTTTTCTGAACCACAACTCGTGATCAAGAAAGAGGGAAAGCTAGGAATTATATTTCAGAAATATCTCCAATTCTGCTTTAAAGAATATGGCAACAGTGCAATATAACATGATTGTATTGATTATGGAAACTTATATTTTTGGTAGACAGAATGTTACCCAGACATTTCATTCTAATTCCGTTGCATTTGTTTTTATAGAAGGTAACTAACCATTCTTAATAATCTGAAGCATACTGCAGTAATTTCTCTGCCTTGGGATATATTCTGTTGTTAATGATGAGCAGTTTAACCTTGCTATTTTCACAGTGTGCACCTGTCCATTGTTTTAAAAATATTTTGATTTGTCTTTGTAGCCCAAGGTGGAGTGTTACTACTGCGCATCTGAAATGCTTTTTCTTTGAGATGTTTCTTCTTCTGTTACTGCAGGTTCCCTGTTCCTTGACAGCTATACATCCTTCAGCGAATGCTAGAACAAATACAGTGCTGGAGAGAGTGGAAGGAGCCCAGGAAAGGTGGAAGCGTCAGGTGCAGGAACAGCGGAAGACTGTGTTTGATCGGCACAAGATGCTAAGCTAGACCTTTTATTTTAGGTGTGAGCTGCAGCTGCTGGTTAGCTAGGCAAAATTTTGTTCGCCAGTACAGACCCCAAATCTGTAGTTTAAATATCTTGCACCTACTGTTTCTGATTGGATTTGCTTGTTGTCTTCCTCTTCAGTCCACCCAAGAGAATATGCTGCATTTGAAGCAAGCTGCTGGCTGCACGTGCCATCTATGATTCTATGAGGACTGCCACTTGCTTTAAATAACTCTAGGATAACTATTTGACTTCAAAAGTGAGAAACAGTTGCAACTTTGGGTTCTATAATCTGCCAAGCATTGGTCTGGTTTGGTGATTAAAAAAAGGCATGCATTTATTTGTTACTGCTTACTAACCTATGGCTTGGCTTTTAGTTTGAGTTGGATGTTTTATTAATAGAATGAGAATAGCAACATCCTTTTCATTCCATTGACTGTATGCCGATATATGATCCTTCACTGTTGCAAAATAGAGCAACAAAATAGAGCAAAAGTGGCTTGGGTCTTATGTATAACATGCTAGTTTGAAAAGTTGGCACTAAAGATAGAAATGAAATAAGGGAAATTAACTTGCCATAAAGGAGTTACTGTATTTGGCTCATAAATTCGTACAGATTCTTCCTTCAAGGATTTTTGGGGGGATAGTTAACTTTACACCAAAGAAATATGGACAGATTTTTTTTTTAGCACTATCATAGTTAATGGTAACCCATGGGTAACCCATCAGAATAATGCTTCTGGATTAATTCTCAATCTCCTAAAGGAACCAAACCAAGAAACTTGTGGATGCCTCTTTCACATGCAGATTTTTAAACAATGAAATGGATATACAGATTGTCGTATTTCTTTGCTTTGGAAACCGCTTAATTACTGCCTAGGTTAGATCTTAATTTTCACAGTATGTTGAACAGATGAAGCCGTTGCTGTTCATACAATTTCATATGCAAACAAAGAATGTTTTCCACATATTAACTATTGAAAATCTTTTGCTTTAAGAGTTATATGCACAGGAAGGAAACTAGATTATTCAGTGCAAAGTGCACCAGATTATTCAGTGCACATATGGCAGTTTGTCCCAGTATGTAGAACTGGATTCTACTATCAAAGGACATTTATAGAAATGTAGCCTTAGATTTTAATATCAGTTCAAAGAATGACATGCAATATGCAAAATAAAGTTTAACTTGACTTAATGGAAAATTTCCTGCATGGATTTGGAATTTTTCCCTTGGCCTACAGGGCCATAATTATTTTATTGTAATTTTACAATACATCAACCAATTGCTTGCCCAGATATATGGGATATTGTATTGAAATGTGTTTTTATGGTACTTGTAGCAGCCAGATTTATGCCGCCAATTAAGGGGAAGTAGTATTACCAGTATGTAATGGTGAAATGTAATTTTGTAATGGTAGCTCAGATATAAAAGGCACCATCAAGAGATCTTGAAGGTTAGACAGTATTTTTTTCCGCATGCAAAAATATTTATGTATTAAATGACCTACTTTATCTCTTACAATATCTCTTGCAAATTGCATCAGTCTTTGTTACTATGAAGCATCTGTTCATTAAAGTATGTACAATATTACAGACATCAGGCATAATTCAATAACTAAAAGGAAGTCTGAAGACAACCTCATTTCCTAGAACCATCTCAGTGCATAACTATTAAAAATCAATAGCATCATTTCATGTTATTTTGAGATAGAAGAATTTTGGAGAGCATAGTTTAAAACTTCCCATAGATTTAATATAATTTAAAAACAAGTGTTAGCTATCCATTTATATAATTTTTAGTATGCATCTTCCCTCCCACTTCTCTTAATGACTTGAAGCTGAGTAAGAAGCTTAAAATCCCCGAGCAAGAATGGTATACTAAAATATAACAGTACATTATTCTAAATCAGTATACAAATGTACTAAAGCTGTATGGGGATTCCTTCAAATTAAAATATAAACATTGCTTCCCTTTTCTATTTCTTCCTGTTGTGTTTCTGCATATCTCTTATTAAAGCAAGTCTCTTGGTAAAGTTGGGATTGTTCAGCAAAAGTGCATAGGAATCTGAAGAGGTATCCTTAAAGTTATACTGGATTAGCAGGATGCCCTTCCCTTGAATCTACCTCAGCCTCATAATGAAAGCTTTAGATTTTAGAAATGCATAACATTTTTTTCCTGTTAGATTTTTTTTCATCAGTCATAATTGATCATTTTTAACAGATCCAACAGAAATAATTCACCAGGACATTACTCTGTTGATTTTACAGGAACAAATGATGAAAAAAAAATGTTTATGCTGAACTAGTTAGCTTAAGTGAATTTTACTTAGAAGAGGGGCTTTTAGAACCACATCTCTTAGGCATTCTCTTAATGACTGCCGCAAAACAAGGTGTCTAAATCAGATTGATCATATGATAACCTACTTTATGACCATTACAACTCATGACTATAAAGGGCAGGCTCATTTACAGTCATAAATTGAAGACCGCCTTTGTTTTGTAAGCATTTTTACTGACAGCTCCAGGAAGGACTGCATTTTAAAGAGGAATTGTGTCACTAGTATGTTATTCCTCCTCTGAGATAAGATGGAGATGATTCCTGAAACTGGATCCCAGACCTATGAAGAACTTAATGGTAAATAAAGGATCCTTCAGTTTTTGACAGACAAACTCCTTTAACAGACAAATTATCATCTTGGCTCCCCTGAGTGTGACCACTGGAAGACCATAGAGCCTTGGATGGTGCTGGATCCATTTCCTGGACTTTGGCAGTTCAGGAGGATGAGGAGATCTTATTTTATTTTGCTGACCCCAAAGACCATGGCATTTGATTTCCTCCATCACTGCCTCTTTCTCCAGTTTAGCTTCTCCTTCTTCCACACTGCTATTACTTGGACAATATTTATTTTTTTATCCCTTTATAATTTTTATAAGTAACTGAAGGCAGTAGACATATCCAATACTTCTTCCTCCCGCTGTTTTCCACACAACAGTCTTATGAGGTAAGTTGGAGTGAAAAAAAGTGATTGACCCAAAATCACCCAGCTGGCTTCCACATCTGAGGCTGGATTCTGGTCAGCAGGACCAGAACCACTGGATTGAAATTATGTTGGTGACATTCAAATTCGATATTGGAAGGTATTTATTAGTTGTTTTAATAAACCATCTTTATTACTTGTATAAGTAACTCAGTACAGTATTGGTAAGAAATACTGTATTAAAACTACCCCAAATTCCAAGGAAATCTTCACAAGGAATAAGAAGCTAGCACTGAAGTTACTGCATTCACCGATTGCTTCAGCCTTCGTATAGCTTTCCAAATATTTATTTATTTATTTAGTTGTCAAGCATGTACTAGATAACATTAGAACATGATTATGTTACATGATTATACGACATGATTATACTACAAAACAGCGCATTAAGCCAGCACCCAGCAAAATTGGACATCTCGGTCGAAGCCGAATATCAGAATAAGATCAGAATAACAGAGTTAGGAGGATCTTGGAGATTTTCGAGTCCAACCCACTGCTCGAGCAGGAGACCTTTTACCATTCCGGGCGAAAGGCTGTCCAATGCCTTCTCGAAAAGCACCAGCGAAGGCTACGCGGCCTTTTCGCCTCTCCTGCTTTAAACGTTCTGTCGTCCAACCTGGAATCCAAAGAGCGCAGCCGTTTGACTGAACGTTTAAAATTTGACTAAACCTTCCAAAATTATTAAATCGCGGAAGCGGCTTTGGTTGGTTTCTAGCAACGCCTACTTATGGTGATGATAGCGAAAGGCGGATCCGACCGTTTCTAGGAGCCGTCGCTGCTAGGTATGTCTCTTGTTCCTTCGCCAATAGTATAAAAAAACCCCGATGTTGGTTGGGAGAAAACGGGGAGCAGTTTCCATAGCAACCTCTTGTACTATGGGTGTAGCGAAGCTTGGAAGAATCCGAACTCTGCCCGTGATCTGCGTGTTTGTTGGTGGTTCGTGTCCTGAAAAATGGTATGGTTTGAAAGGGAATGTAAATTGCCAGGAGAAGGTGATCGGCAGGTACCTTCAGGAGTTGCAGCAAAAGGCACCCTTATTTAATTAGGGATGGGGTATTTTTTATCATGATGTGTATGCAATCTCGTCACCTTTCCATTTGCATAAAAAAAATCCAAAACCATCCAAAATCCAAATATTAAGCAGATGTATCACATGCACACTTTTATGGGAGATAGAGAGGAGCGGGAAGCTATAGTTGGCTATCAAAGTTGGACAGTCTGGGAAATGTGGCCATTGTGCAAGAGAGCTTCTTGTCTCTTTCCCCTCTTTTTCTACTTTTTTTCTTTTTCCCTTAAGCAGGGGGAAATGCCTCCTCTTCCTCTTCCTTCCCTTTAGATTTGGACTACTCTACACCACAAAGAGGAAAAGGAGTGTAAAGTTTAGCAGATGCTTCAGAAAAAATACTTTAGTGAAGAATGTATAAATATTCAATTCACATTCCTTGCAGGTGATGAAGAGTTTTCTGGTCCTTTTTATGTGACTTGACTGGCTTTTCTATGTCCAGTTTGATTGTTTGCTGCCTAAAAGCTGAAACTTTCCAAAATATATGTAAAAGTGATGAGCATCTAAGATAGAGATGGTAGATTGCATATGTAAGATTGAGTATCTTGCTAAGAATACTTAATGTTCCCATAAAATAGTACTTGGAGGAGGCTCATTTTTACACAAACATTTCTTAGTAAATGATGATCTAATCTGATTAATAGTTCTTTTTATTTTATTTGCCTTTAGGTAGACAGCTGCAGAGATTTTGAGCTTGCTTTTTTTTTAAGATGGATCACTAATTAACTTTGGCTCTACCAATAAAAGCAGCTACTGTGAAGAACAAATACATATTTTGTTTCCTATAATTGTTGCACAGTTCATAGTGCTATTAAAGTCATAAGATAAACATGCATTTTAACCAGTGTAGTTGAAATGTTTTGTAAACATGGAAAAATAAGTTACAACATGGCCTCAATTTTAATTAAAAACATGACATTTGAAATAATAAAATTGTGATCTTTCCTGTATATTGATTTTTTCTTAATGTTATTAGATTATTTGCTTTATGTATAAATTCTATGATGAAAACTTATAGTCTTTTACATATCAACTGCAAACCATTTTATTCTCCATGTGAGTTCTCCTCATTTCTCCTAATATTTATTTATTGATTGATTTATTTGATTTGATTTGATTTGATTTGTCAATCACTTACAAGATAATAGGTATAAGTATATACATAGTTATGAATACATGAAATGGGTACATATAAGAAAAATAAAAGAAACAATAGGACAAGGACGGTAGGCACGTTGGTGTGCTTATGCACGCCCCCTACAGACCTCTTAGGAAAGGGGTGAGGTCAATAGTAGACAGTCTAAGGTTAAAGTTTTTTGGGTTTGGGGAAGAAACCACAGAGTCAGGTAGAGTATTCCAGACATTGACCACTCTGTTGCTGAAGTCGTATTTCCTGCAATCAAGTTTGGTGCGGTTAACCTTGAGTTTGTATCTATTTGTGCTCTTGTGTTGTTATGGTTGAAGCTGAAGTATTCATTGAGAGGTAGGACATTGCAATGTATGATTTTATATACCATACTTAGATCAGACCAAAGACGGCGTCATTCAAGGTCTTCTTGGTCTAGAATTTCAAGTCTGGTGGCATAAGGTATTCTACAGCGAGTAGAGGAGTGGAGAACTCTTCTTGTGAAATATATCTGGACTTTCTCAACTGTGCTAATATCAGATACGTAATGTGGGTTCCAGACTGATAAGCTTTATTCCAGTATTGGTCTAGCAAATCTTTTGTATGCTCTAGTTAATAGTGTGATATTACCAGAGAAAAAGCTACATAGGATTAGGTTAACAACTCTTAATGCCTTTTTGGCTATGTACTTACAGTGGGCTCTAGTACTTAGATCATTAGAGATGAGTATTCCAAGGTCCTTTACAGAGTTTAGATCATCAGCAAGGTCTTGACTATTCAGCTTGTATTTTATTTTCTGATTTTTTTTGCCAATATGTAGGACAGAACATTTATTTGTTGAGATTTGAAGTTTCCGTTTGACCATTCTAATACATAGTCAAGATCATTTGAAGGGTAGCAGTATTGTGTGTGGTATTGAACAGCTTTACATCGCAGTTGCTCTTAATATGATCACAGAGGTCATTTATGTAAGTATGAAGAGAGTTGGTCCTAGAACACTACCTTGGGGTACACCACTATTGACAGGTACAGAATTTGATAGGACACTCCCAATTTTGACCATTTGTTGTCTGTTTGACAGGAATGCTTCTATCCAGTTATGCAGTTGTCCAGAGACACCATAAGATTTTAGCTTTAGGAGTAGTTTGTCATGTACCACTGAATCAAAGGCTTTAATAGATTGCGTCTATTGTTTTGCCCAGATCAAGTTGTGTAGTCCATATGTTTTTGCAGTGTAAGAGTTGCAGATTACAGGATAGTTTTTTTCTGAAACCAAATTGTTTATTGGAGAGTAGGTTGTGGAAGAGTGGAAGATAATGGATTGGTTAATAATTGATTCCATGACTTTACAAGTGATGCAGCATAAGGAGATTGGTTTGTAATTTTCAACTAGGCTGGGGTCTCCCTTTTTGAAGATGGGGATGACCGTGGCTTGTGACCATAGGTTAGGCAAGGACCTGGTCCTGAAAGATTTTTCAAAGATTATGCTTAGAGGTTCGGCTATGGCAGTGGATAGCTTTTTTAAGAAGTAGGCACATATTTTGTCCGGTCCAATAGATAGAGATGGTTTTAGATTGTGTAGTGCTTTTTCAACATTGTCTTCTGTAAAATCGATATGTATTAGATCATTGTAGTTTTCTGTGGTTTGGCTAGGAAATACTGGGCATGATCCATTGCTGTTTACAAATACTGAGCCAAAGAATGTGTTAAAGATGTCGGCTTTAATGGTGTCATCGTTGCAATCTTTACCATTAGGTCCTATCAGGGGTGGGATGGACCTTGAGTCCTTTAATTTGTTGTTTACAAAATTGTAAAAAGCGCGGTGGAATTGGTGTGTGGAAGGTTTTCCTCTTCTTTAATGTGATAATTGGTGCATTTGGTCTTTATCTGGTGACATAAATTTTTGTATTGGCTTTTGAAGTTGGCAATGTGATTAGATTTGTTTTTCCACCAGAGTGATCTCTTTTTGGATTGAAGCTTCCTTATTGTTATGGGTAATCTGTTTTTGTTGTTGTTGTTGTTGTTTTGGGAGTTGTTGTTGGTACATATAGTTTGATGACTCTTTTGACTTCAAGTAAAAATATGTTGTAATGGTCTTCAACAGTATTGCATCCAGTGAATAGAGATTGCCAATCAAGGGATGAGAGATCGTTGTTTATAAGATCATAGTTGCCTTTTCTGAAATTATAATTGGGGATTACATCATTGTGATGATTTTTGTGTGGGCATATGTTGAGACAAAAGTCAATCATGTTGTGGTCACTGCTGGAAAAGGGTTCTTTAGTTTGTATTCCGTAAATTAAATTCAAACTATTGCAGAAGATGAGATCAAGGCAGTTATTTAGTCTAGTATTGTTGGTTACTAGTTGTTCCAGTCCCAGATTTGTAACAGCATTGTAGAAGCTTGCATGTATGGGTTCAGTTGTACATTCATTTAGGGTCAATATGAGGTAGATTGAAGTCACCAAGAAAGATAAAAGCATGTGGGCAGGATGTTGCCCATGTTAGTAGTGTATTTAGCTTGTTTACATGTTCGATGTCATAATCAGGTGCTCTGTAACATAGTAAGAATTGAAATGTGATATTTAAGGATAGTTCACAGATGATGGTCTCAGGAAGAGCAAGCTCCTGGGTAACTTGGATGTTTTTTAGATGTAAGGACTTTTTATAGAAGATAGCAACACCACCTCCTCTACGGATTTCATGATCGGATCGGTAAACATGATAGCCTCTTACTGTGGTAATGGAGTCAGGGAGAGATGTGTTGAGCCATGTTTCACGGACAAATATGATGTCAAATTTTGCCATATTTAGTAAGAGGAGAAATTTAGGTAATACTAGCTGTGTATGTTCCGCCACAAGCTTGTGTAAACAAGGAATTACAAACTCTAGCTGATCAGATTATGGAGGCTGAAGCCAAACACCCAGATTCCCTTCCCATCATTTTAGGAGATTTCAATCAAGCAAATCTAAGGAAAGAGCTCCCAAAATATTTCCAGCAAGTCAATTGTCCCACCAGAGGCAAAAATACTTTAGACCGGGGTTTCTAACCTTGGCAACTTTAAGAACTATGGACTTCAACTCTCAGAATTCCTCAGCCAGTAAAGCTGGCTGAGGAATTCTGGGAATTGAAGTCCACAAGTTTTAAAGTTGCCAAGGTTGGAGACCCCTGCTTTAGACCCCTGCTACACAACACTAAAAGATGCTTATAGGTCTTTATCACAAGCAGTTGTGGGACACTCTGATCACTGCATGATTCACCTTGTACCTGCCTACAGACAAAGACTTAAAACCATGAAACCAATCAGTGAGGACTTGGACTGATGAGGCAAAGCTGAAGCTACAGGCTTGTCTTGATTGCACTGAATGGAATGTTTTTGAAGATAGCTCTGCAGATCTAGATGAACTCAAAGATACTGTAAGATTATATGTCAGCTTCTGGGAAGACCTATGTGTACTGACAAGGAACCTGTGAATATATAGCAACAATAAACCTTGGTTTACAGCAAAAGCAGCTACATCATTCCAAAATGGAAGCCTATAGAAAAGGTGACAGTACAATCAGGCCAGAAATGTATTAAGAAGAGAGATCAGAGTAGCAAAAAGAAGCTACTCTGAAAAGTTAAGGAATCAGTTCTCAACAAATGAATCAGCAAACGTGGAAAACTCTTAAAAACATCACTGGCTACAGCAAACCTCCTTCCCAGCCAGAAGGAAATCAAGAACTAGCAGATGACCTGAATGTTTTACTGCTTCGAAAGATAAATACAGCCACCTATCTCCACAATCCCCATCTCAAACACACCAATAATAGCCAAAGCTCCCACAACTACCCCAACCCATTGGGTTCACAACCTCTGGTGATCACAGAAAAAGGAGTGCAAGATCTGTTTCACAGACAAAAGCCAGGAAAAGCACCAGGGCCCAGACAAGATAACTCCTTCTTGCTTAAAAGTCTGTGCTGACAAATTGGCCCCCACCTTCACTTCAATCTTCAATAAATCCCTAGAGATGTGCTATGTTCCTATTTGCTTCAAATGCTTGACTGTCATCCCAGTGCCAAAGAAACCCTCCATCAGGGAACCTGAATGACTACAGACCAGTTGCTCTAACATTTGTAGTTATGAAAACCTTTGAAAGGCTAGCGCTGTCCCACCTGAAAACCATCACAGATCCGCTGTTAGATCCATGTAATTTACATACCAAGCAAATAGATTGACAGATGATGTTGTTAATATGGCTCTGCACTACATCTGACAACACTTTGAATCTCCAAATACATACGCAAGGGTTCTCTTTGTAGACTTTAGTTCAGCATTCAATCCCATCACTCCAGACATTCTTCTAACTAAATTAAACCAGATAGTGGTACCTGAACACACTTGTAAATGGATCATAAGCTTCCTAACAGACAGGAAGCAGCAGGTGAAGCTAGGCAGAATCACATCTGATACCTGTACAATTAGCACAACACCACCACCCGTAGGCTGTGTGCTTTCTCCATTTCTCCCTATATACCAATGACTGCATCTCAAATGATCCATCTGTTAAAATACTGATGTTTGCAGATGATACAACAGTGATTGGTCTCATTCGAGACGATGAATCCGCATACAGATGGGAGGTTGTACAACTTGCGTCGTGGTGTGACCAGAACAATCTGGAACTGAACATACTCAAAACCATAGAAATGGTGGTAGACTTCAGGAGAAACCCTCCCATACTACCACCTCTTACAATACTAAACAACACAGTATCAACAGTAGAGACCTTCAAATTTCTAGGTTCTACTATATCACATGACCTAAAATGGACACCTAACATCACATACATTATCAACAAAGAATGTTCTTTCTGCGTCAACTCATAAAGCTCAAACTGCCCAAAGAGCTGCTGATGCAGTTCTACAGAGGAATGATTGAATCTGTCACCTGCACCTCTATAACTGTCTGGTTTGGTTCTGCAACCCAATAAGACAGACACAGACTTCAGAGAGCAATTAGGGCTGCAGAAAAAAAAATTACTACCAACCTGCCTTCCATTGAGGACCTGTATACTGCACGAGTCAAAAAGAGGGCTGGGAAAATATTTACAGACCCTTCACATCCTGGACATAAACTGTTTCAACTCCTACCCTCAAAACGACGCTATAGAGCACTGGCACACCAGAACAACTAGACACAAGAACATTTTTTCCCCGAATGCCATCACTCTGCTAAACAATTCTCTCAACACTGTCAAACTATTTATTAAGTCTGCATTACTATTACTATTAATCCTCCCATCCTCCCTTTCACCCTTCTCCTCCCACTTATGACTGTATGATTTTAACCTTGTTGCTTGTATCTTGACAATTTTATTGACTGTTTCCTAGTATGATTTGATTGCTGATTGCTTATGGTGTGCCTATGATTATTATTAAGTGTTGTACCTTATGATTCTTGATGAATGTATTTTTCTTTTACATACACTGAGAGCATATGCACCAAGTCAAAATTCCTTGTGTGTCCAAACACACCTGGCCAATAAAGAATTCTATTCTATTCTATTCTATTCTATTCTATTCTATTCTATTCTATTCTATTCTATTCTATTCTATTCTATCCTATTTATATTTTCACCTGAAAGCCACTGTACATCTTTTGCAGACAAATCAAAAATCTAATCTAGTTGCAGAATAGTACAAGGTGTTGTGCTATTCTTACATATTTGGTAAGATGATAATATGTAATGAGCTATATTTAAAATCTAATTAAAGATTGTTTCTAGTCAAACTGTCTCTGCTGTTAAAGGATTTGGAAAAGACTGGTTTTGTCTTCTCTTCCACGCATACTGCAAGTTCTTGGCTTTTGATATGTTTTTATTGCTTCAGGTTTTCAGGCCCTAAAAGGAGATATCATCAAAATTATACATATGCTGAAGAAACCAGCTTGTCACATTTTAGCAGATGAGTTGTGATATCTAAAACTCTATAATGTTATAAAGAATTGGCTGATTTCTGTTGTTTCCCCCCTCCCTTCCAGGTAATATTAATTTACACATCTGAGAAATCATGAAATCGGTGTCACTTGCAGCCATTTTTTGGTGTATCCTAATACCATCATTTGAGACCAGCAAGGTGAGAGGGGAAAATAGGAAGAAAAACTGATTATATTAATGTTTATTATTTGCTTTTGGGTTAATGTAACAGTCATGTCTATCTATGTCACCATAGCATTATATGAAGCCAGGCCAACATAACTCAGTTCAAACTAAATCATGGTTTATTTTTAATATAATTTGTTGATAGCAATAGCATTTAGACTTTTGCAATTATGTGCAATTCAATTACAGTATAACAGATATGCAGAAATGC